TCCTGTATTTTTTTTGTAAAACCTTCGTCTTTCAGTCTCAAAGCTATGTGTTGTGGTCTTAATTTTATATATTGCGTTATGACGTTTTGTGAAAAATCTATACGTGATGGTGAAAAATGGATATAATTTTTAGATTCAGCATACAGGAATTACTGTAGAAGATGTAAAAATTTCAAGACAATAAAACCATCGTAAGCCAGTGTAATTAGTCTGAATGAATATTGATAAGTGACTGTGACTTGTTTACTTACTGTACGTTTTCCTTGATGCAAGAAGATCATAAAAAAACTTTGAGCCAGAAAATACAAGACTGAAGACCTGCTCAACTGGTAGAGGGATCACCGAGTTCATCATTTCTTTTCCATCATGATTCAAACACAAACACGATACTTCGCCAACTATCGGGAGAAACAATACAACTTGAAACACTCGTGTTCACAGTAATAAATATAAGATAATTAAAAAAGTGAAAAACTAGAAGTATTTTCAAAGAAGAAAAAGCAAAAATACTGAAAACTTGCCAACTCTGTTCATTGGAGGTATGCCAGTACAGTATTACACAGATTTATAAATTTAAATCATATGACAGGTTACACCATAAGTAATACCATCACCTGAACACACTAAAAAAGTTAATGTTAGTAGGAAATGATAAAACAGTGTTTTTAAAAAATGAAGGTTGCCTACCAATTACTGAAAACATGGACTATTATTAGAAATGATAATATCTTAAAATATATTAAGGGAATCAGTTTACTCTTCTTAATAATTCCCTACTTAACATTTCTTAATGTGTTTGGTGTAGTTTATAAAGTGACTTAGCTTACTTACACTGCATGTTCCTGATGACAAGAGCCGATAAGGTCTTGTAACTTGAAATTCTTTCTAATAAATGTTCGTTGATGTTAGCTATTGTAAGTTTTTGCCGATTGTTTTTGGATTATAATTAAATTGTTAGCTTGTTTGTACAAACCTACCTTCTCAACTAGGCCTAAAATTACATTATTAAATTTGCTCTCTGTAAAATATAAATTGTAAGTCTGTTTGTCTAAAACGGGTGTTTATGTTTTAAACTTTATCTACTATCGTAGATAGTTTTTGTGACACAAAAATTAAAATGTTGAACTTTTAAAAGTAAACAGAATTTTTTTTCATTTGTGATAATGTTGTTCAAATAATTTGTTTTCTGCCAAATCAGCTACTACTTAGAAACCTGCCTTTAAATGAAACAGGCTAACACCCTAAGACAAAGTTTATTCATTCATGTTATACACTATAGTAAAAACTTAAAAGCCGTTAAACTAATTGTTTCTCCAAAGAAGAGTGTAATATGTTTATTACAGACATAAAAGATTACACTCACCATCATGATCATCGGGTTCTGTTTCTGTAGTGTCACTGAAGTCTGTTGGATACTGCACAGAATGGATCTGTTCTATTGGATCTACACTTCCTACATGTGGCATTTCTTCTCTAGGTTCATCCTCCACCAGCTCAGAGACACTTCCTGACCCAGCCACCGACTCCTGAAATACATCCATCAGTTACAACCATATCATTACTCTACAGAAAAGTCCATTAAGGATGGTAGGTTTACATTAAACACTTCCTGACCCAGCCACTGACTCCTGAAATACATCCATCGGTTACAATCATATCATTACTCTACAGAAAAGTCCATTAAGGATGGTAGGTTTACATTAAACACTTCCAGAACCAGCCACTGACTCCTGAAGTACATCCATCGGTTACAATCATATCATTACTCTACAGAAAAGTACATTAAGAATGGTAGGTTTACATTAAACACTTCCAGAACCAGCCACTGACTCCTGAAGTACATCCATCGGTTACATAATTAACTAAGCAAACTAGTCAGTGAAAATCTAAAAAAAACACTAACAGAGACTTTGTTAAACTTTATGTAAGGTCAGTGAGTTATTATTTATTATTATGACCAAATATTTCACTTTTTCTTAGAGAGAGTTGAATGTTTTCTTCGTATTCTCAGAGCTTCATCACTAATCGTATTTCATTGTTATTTGTATCACTTTTAAGTGAAGAAAACAAGTTTTTGTTTGTTTATCTATTCTTGGAATTTCATGCAAATTTACTTGAGAATTACCTGCACTAACAGTCCCTAATTTAAAATTAATAAACTAGAGAAAAGGCAGCTGGTCAACATCAAATCAAAAAGGCAGCTAGTCAACATCACCCACCTTCAAAACTTGGGCTACTCTTTTGTAATTTAAAAGTTATAAACTAGAAAAGAGGCAGCTAGTCAACACCACCCACCTTCAAAACTTGGGCTACTCTTTTGTTAATTTAAAAGTGGGATTGACCATCACATTATAATGCTCCAACAATTGAAAGGATGAGCATGTTCAATGATGGGATTCCAACCCACAACCCGCAGACTGTGAGTTGAGTACTCTAACTTCTACATCATGCAGGGCCAAATGTTTAGAAGCAATCCTCAATTAATTCAATACTTTCGACTCATTCAAGTTATATGGACTTACTAGGATGTATAAGATGAAAAAGTCCCATTCAGTCAACAGCCTCGTCCATATGTTGCACACCACAGATCGAAGACAACATAGAATTATAAAACACCGACAACCAACTGTATCTCTAATCCACCTACTATATCTATTACACACAGTTTCAGCCCACACCAAAAACCTGAATAATAGGTCTGGCCAGATGAAAAACCAATTTAAGTAGCCTAAAGGTTTAGGTTCATCCACATATTCCATTGCAAGTACTGTTACTTTCTCAGTTTTCTAAGTGTTTAGAATTGAGAAATTTTGCACTTGTACAGTTTCTTTCTGTACAGACTCTGAATATATGTAGTTACGTAAAAGTACAGTACACTGTTATTTTCCTTGATCACTTTTAAATAATCTCTCACAGGGGGCATTCTAGAAGTTTATACCAGGTGTTTGCCTTTCCACACTGTATTCTGTAGCTTAGAGAAGTATTTAAAAAACAATGAATAATTTAATATCTAAATGTAATTAACATACTTAATATAATAGTGATAGATATATAAAAAAAACGAGAAGCCATATTCTAAAGCAAATAATAATAAAACGCACTGAGAAAAAGACCCCTTTAACCACACACAGAAAACAAGCACAAGTGTACTTTAAATTAGCTACATTCAACATACACACCACATGTGTCTGATGTTGTACTAAAGTTAGGGCAAATAACCTATACACAAACCGATACATATACACAGCCAAATGGTAGTATACATACACTTCGTTTTATAATAAAGCTACAAATTGTCAAACTATATACAAACAGGTACTCTGTATTCAATCTAATAACTACTATATATTTTATATTTTAGCTTCTAAGTTTTTGTTTTATTTCAATTTGATAAAAACAAAACTTATTTTCAGTTTTCATGTGAGGGAAAAATGATGGTAACTTATCTTAACACCCATTTCATGTGTACAATGGATGGCGTACGTCTGAAATTAACATAGACGTTTTACTGAGAAAAGTGTATACGTATGTTAAGAGTGAGTTGAATGTTTTCTTCGTATTCTCATCACTAACTGTATATCATTGTTTTTAATTGGTCAGAAAAGTCAATACTTAAATCTACCTCAAAAGGACAATGTTTTAGCGAACTAGTTGAATGTTTTTTTACAAATATGATAGAAGAAACAAGCTTTAGCACAACATACACATTTTTCAACTAATCAATTTAAAGCAGTTTTTTGTTGTATTCCACATACAAGCAACAGCATCCAAACTAATTTGGCTAAACTTTCTTTTTATCCAACTAAATTTAAGTTAAAAAAAAACTTAATTTCAAATACACAATGTATCACCCTAGTAAAAACTTAATTTCAAATACACAATGAATCACCCTAGTAAAAACTTAATTTCAAATACACAATGTATCACCCGAGTAAAAAAGTATACGACACATGAATCAACTTACCATCAGTAATAATATTGTTACTTCCTTCAACTCCTGTATTGTGGCTACCAATGTTTCACTCATCTCTTGAGGTGTAACATCCAGCTAATCGGCCACTATGGTGTGTGGTCATTCTTATGTTCATCAACCCGTGATCCACAGTTGTCATCGTCGCTAGTGAGGCCCGGTTCTTCTCCATAACTAAGACGTACACACTGCCACAGCTAATAGTATCGTCGCTAGTGAGGCCCGGTTCTTCTCCATAACTAAGACGTACACACTGCCACAGCTAATAGTAAAATAGCCAAAAAGACAGGAGTTCAATAATTATAGGGAAATCTTCATTAGTGGTTAAAAAAAAATCCAGGCCGAGACAAATTTTGCAGCAATTAAGGTGAAACATATCTTTAATAACAACTTACTCCAAAACAGCTTCAAATAAGACAAACTGTATGATTAAGGTTCTTAACTTATTATCTCTAAAAGAGCATTCCACCAGAGCATCGGGTAAGCCTTATCACGAGCAGCAAATGATGTAAAGAAGTGTTTTTCACCATCTGTACAAACTTGAACTGCATTTGGAATTACTCGTGCTGTTCTCTCTTTGGTCATGCTGTTGATATCCGTGCACTGAATTAGCAACTGAAACGTAATAACTTAAGTTTATTATTACGTAACACAAACAACAAAACACACTGAAAGGTTTGGAAGAGACATTATTTAATGAGCTATCTAACTGGTGAAAACTTCAAACCTTTAGAAGGGATATAGTGTAATAACTTAAGTTTATTATTACATAACACAAACAACAAAACACACCGAAAGGTTTGGAAGAGACATTATTTAACAAGCTATCTAACTGGTGAAAACTTCAAACCTTTAGAAGGGATATAGTGTAATAACTTAAGTTTATTATTACATAACACAAACAACAAAACACACCGAAAGGTTTGGAAGAGACATTATTTAACGAGTTATCTAACTGGTGAAAACTTCAAACCTTTAGAAGGGATATAGTGTAAACTGATCCATTTATTTACATCACCCACTGACTTACTGTTTATTACGGTTCTCAGACATAGTTCAAAAAGCAATAAAATTAAAGTATTTGTGAAAAGAGACCTAAAGCCCCTAAAATAAATAATTGTAGCTGTTACAACCTGCTGACATTCTAGTAAACAAAAAACATATGTTTAATTTCATTTCATATTTTTCAACTTTATTTACAGTTAGGGTAGAGATAAAGTATAAAGTTTTATCCAAAAAAATAGATTCATTCAGAAGGTTCTAGAAGATTATGTAACTGAAATATGAAAACTGTGAGATGAAAAAAAGTATTTTTATTCTTAGCATGAAAATTACCTTACATTCAGACTATTCTGAGACTGAGTTAGTGAATTCACTGGTGAATCTTAATAAAAATTCTGATTTTTTGTGTACAACAAATTTGTGTAATGGTTGCTAAAAGCCTATTAAATTTCATGAAGACACACTTAATAAATTCAAACTGATATTAAACATTAAATCTCCAATACAGGCATTGGTCCAATGGTGTGGTATTATTGTTGCAAGGTGCTTTGAGATTCCAGGCCTGTAGTTTAATTTATTGTTTTAACTGCCACCATCTTATCAGTGTCAAAAGCCACTTCAGAAAAATCTATGGGATTTATATATCAGTAATAACTTGGCTAAATTAGGAAAATCATACCAATTTTTTTTTTTAATTTGACTTAAAGAAATGGAACTCGTGATTAACACGTGTAAAACTAAAACATTAAGTTAAAAAATATATACACGTAATTTAATTTTTAGTTTACCAAGTATTATAAAAATGAAACAACTCTGGGCCTACTAACTTAGTCTTAAGTGTGTGCCACAATAAAACTATATTTAAACTTTAAAGTTACAGGCCTATTTTTTTCCTAAACTATATTTATTATACAAAATATTAAATTCCAATAAAAATAATATATGTCTTTCTTTTACTTTCCACTATACTTAGATTTTTTTAAAACTCAATCATGCGCATTATCTAAACGGGTACCATAAAATCACGATTAAGACAGCCGATAACTTACATAAAGAGTAACAATTTGTCACTCGTTCCCGTCAAACTTCACTTACTAACCCTAACCATTCTGTTGAATATGTAAGCCTAACTAACGTCGAAGACATCATGCCTCTAAATTTTATGATTATCTCAATGACCTTAAATTATTTTGATTTTGAGCTAATAACTCACATCACACCACGTATTACTGTTATGATTTTTTAAAACAAAAATACACTTACCATACAGCGAACAATGACAGAAAATATACGTCATATCCGTTTTCCAGTGTCATTGGTTCGAAAAAAAAACCTTAATATAATTTCTTTCGAAAGAACTTATTACATCATTATCACGTACGACAAACATGTTGTTGTTTATTAAGCACAAAGCTACACAAAGGGCTATCTGTGCTCTGCCCACGATGAGTATCGAAACCCGGTTTCTAGCTTGGTAAGTCCGCAGACATACCGTTGTGCCATTGGGGGACGTACAAAAATGTAACATGCTGAGTGTTTGATGATATATATATATCACACTTTTTCTTTTCGGCTTTTAGAAGAGAATCACCGAATTGATTTAAATAATTATAGTGCATAATACTTTTTCTAGAAATACTCGCATTCTGTAATTTAAAATAACTGCAGTAATTTCCCATAAATTTGTCTGTGATACTAGAAAATTTAAAACAGGTTCGAAGGACTTAATAATTCTATTAAAATAGATATTAGTGATAAATAAATCATTACCTATAATTGAGCTCATCAATTCAATAATTTACTTAAAACTCTGAATCAACAAAATTATTAAAGACAAATTTATGAAATAATTTAAGATTTTTAAGAAATTTCTATTCAAGATCATAATTCTACTTATCTTTTAGGTTTTTGTTTTTTAATTAACTGTCCCTTTAAAACCGTAAACGAGAAGTGTGGATGAAAATAAATCGCAAAATTTACAGCTTATACTCGTTCAGGTAGCATTACACTATGGTGTTCTCAGGTAAACTGTAAATACTTTGGATCTGCTTCGAATAAGTTCGCCAAATAAGAAATTCGGCCAAAATGCTGAACTTAGGTTGGTCTGAGTTAATACTAATTAAGTGATAAGCAGATTGGATACAAAGTGTAAAACACAGTTAAAACGATCTTTATTATTATGATGTACGTTTTTTGAAGCTGGCGAAGCATGATTACACTTATACTTGTCATAACACATTAGTTATTTATTAGGCCTATTACATTTTTAAACACTACATTCTTTATCTAGTCCTTCATTTACGGAATCTTAAGAATTAGAAGAATGTGTAATAATAGTGTTCCAGCCACATTATATTTGTAAAATCCATTGCCAACGACCCATTTCGCTCAATCCAGAGTTCTTCAGCTCGCTGGGATACTATTAATCCAAATAATAAAATTTAAAATTGAAGTTACTAACGATATACCGTAGTAATAACTTAAGTGAGACGGCCTCATTATATTAGAAGAATAGAGCAATATATTGTACATATTTTCTATTGTTGTAGCATAGTTCTTTCGTTAGTGGTTTCTTTTTAAATTGCCCCCCAGTGGCACAGCGGTATGTCTGAGGACACAACGCTAGAATCCGGGTTTCGATACCCGTGGTGGGCAGAGCACAGATGGCCCATTGTGTAGCTTTGTACTTAATTACAAACAAACAAACAATCTTTTTAAAGTATCTGGTGAGAATTATTCAACTTTCAGTCTAAATAAAGACTAATACACTGACTAGTTCGCATTCTATTTTGAAATAATCCGATCTACCTCTTTGCTCTACTCTTGAAATACCCTTGAAACAATTCACGTTTTAACGTCGTGTTTATAATCTACAGATATTCTAAATATTCATTAGCGGATTTAGACCCTTTGAGCCCCCATGCAATTGCATGGGTTGCACCATTTCTAAATCTAGCAAAGTAGATATTTCTAGGACTTTTCTAATTTTAACAATATTCAATCTCTAACTAATACGTAAAACAAATTACATCATAAATATAGTTTATAACAGTATCTTAAAATATAAACGGCTGCTCATTTCGTTAAATACAAGCTTTCTGTCTCTCTTTTTTAACACTATTGAGAACTTCACAAAAACAATATTGTAGTTTGTAGCTAGGTTTAAATATTTTTTTAATAACAAGAGATGTAAATACCAACTACATAAAACTATACGACGAAGAGAACAGTCCCTGTATATTTTTTTACGCATTGATACGTTAGGAGTTTTTATTGTCATACACATTCGTAGTACAGATTTGCTTATACCTTGTCAATAACTACAGAATTGTCCTTGACATGACTCGTCGTGTCAATTAGTACCTTCGGATAATTATTTAGTTAGAACTTAGACTCTTGTTTAGCTGTTATTAATATTATGTGCTATTTTATTTAATTACTCAAAGGGGGCAAATTTTGAAATATTAAAAAGTATAATGTCATTATTATTTCCTGTTTTCGTAAATGGTGTATCCCTTGCATTACTGAAGCACCAACCTAGGTCTGTATTATGGCTGGAGACTTGCACTAAAGTCTGTGACTTACACTAAAGACATTAACTTGATTAAGTTACCACTTAAACTTTAGTTAAAATGTGAAGAAGTGGTAACTAGTATTTTATTTGCAATATTTTAAGTTGTACTTACAACTTTAAATTATACTACTTTTTATTGCATTACTACCATAACAGTGTAGTTTACGCCAGGGTATAAAAAAAAGTGCAATGAGCCGTAATTTATAATTTATTTCTGTGTCGGTGTGTACCCTTAAAAGTTAAATACCCGTAAATTTCTGATAATGGCTTAATGAATTGTGATTTTATTTTAAACTTCCATCTGCTTCAGTAAACGTAGTTAACGCACCACAGTACAATCACAAAATGATAAATCATATATTTAAATTAAGCCTTTTGCAGTTTTTTTAAGTTACATGATTTCAGTGAATAACTGTTTGCTTAAACACATTTCAAGATAATTTAGATTTTTTTCACTAGCAAGTTATGATGTCAAATTTGCTGAATGTAAATCATATTTTTGCATTCCAAGATATAATATATTTCACATTATTTTGGTATAATACTAAATAGTAGATGCTTAATAAAAGTAGAAGTGTATTACTCTATAATATTATGCTATATTTCAGGATTTGTAGCTCTGCTATTTCTCAATGGTGCCACCAACTTTTTAACCGAAGAATCCACACCGCTTCACAACCTCTTCTTTTCCACCTTTCTTTTCCACTAGGGTAGGATATAATAAATAACATGATCCTAATGTGTTTATTATATGATACACATTCTTTTATATAAATAAAACATTAGAAGTAATAAAAAATTCATATACAGACATTATGAACGTGTTTAAGATTAAGTACCATTTAACTGCCTTTTTAAATTAAATTAAATTTAACTAGAAATAATGAAATCATTACTTAAAACTTTGGGAGAGTTATGAAATTATCTCTTATTGTCATTAATATATGTTACAGGAGGGGAGTTAAGCCCTCAATTTGTACACATCCTAAAGGCATACAGAATATTATAATTTTAGATATAAGCTACTATCCCTTTAAACAATACAGAGTAAACATTACACCATTTATATTACAAACAGGATGTTGTTTTTTTTTACTAAATGAAAAGTTAAATATAAGTCATCCTGGAAATCATTTGTAATTTCCAGTCAAGTATCAACTGCATACTGGAAAGTAGAGTTCTACATTTGGTCGTCAACTCATCATCGTCAACTTTTATTTTGCTACTTGATGATGTTTATTTAAATATGCTTTATAAAAAAAACACATTTCAGCTAACTAACAAACAATCAACTATTTCTACATTAGAAAATGGTTCTGAGATTGTTTTAAACTTCACAAAGTAAAATAGATAATTATTGATGGTTCCAGGGGCTTGCTGACAAACATTTTAAGTTTCACTTTTTTTGTTATTTTCCAAAATCTGTAATTTTGTGAGGAATAATATAAAATAGTGCATTATGTGTTGCAATATTTATTTATATTTATTTTGTGTTCCTTACAATTGTATAAAATGGTTTTTATTGTTTGTCTTTATTTATTATCAATGTGGAAAAAGTTCTTTATCATGATACCACCTTTTCATACTTTATTTGGTTATTGGTTATTTTGTTATATTTATTTTTATTAATTGAGTTCTTAAATTGTTTTACATCTGTTGTTGCCTGATGAAGGTTCTGTTAAGAGGGTCGAACGTTCACGAATAAAGGTATTTTAACATAGTTATTGCATAATTCTACATATTAATTTACCTATGTTATGGGTCTTAAAAAATCTAACATATGCATTTTTATATGTGTACAGCCTTAGCAGTCAATAGTTAAGGTTTCAAAGTGTTGTTTGAACCGAATCTTTACTGTTTAAGGTGCTTTTTGGCCGAACATTCTGTTAGGGTTTTGTGTAATTCCTTATCATGAACCACTGTCGTGGTTTACGATTATTTCAATGGATACCGAAGCAGAAAATAGCAATTTATCTTCACAGGTCAAAATAATTCTGAATGCCAGTTCTTGTAGTCAGGCTCCTTATAAATGTTAGTATATAACTGTTTAGCTATCATATAATTATGATTTAAGTAACCATGTAGGTAGTTGAATAGACGTGAATTGCAGAACGTTACACCTGATTCTTTATACAAGAGTAGTGGCAGTTCTGTCTACGAATTAAGTTATTGTTGGTTGTAATGAGCTATCTAAGTGGTTAACCGTTGCTCTTACTTTATCTAGTGCTGAGCCACTTCGAAAGAAGAAGAAAATTGACCCTGCTGTCCTTAAAATGCGAGAAGAAAGGAAAAAAAGGCGTCTGGAGAAAGCTATTCGTAAGTTGGAAAAATCAGCTCGAAGACTTAAACCAATTGAAGAAATTGAAATTACACCATCTCTAAGGAAAGAAATTACGTACGTAAAACAAACATTTTGCATTCTTGAAATTAAATTTCTTATTCTGTTGATTATACATACAGGTGTATAATAAAAAAAAAGAAGTAGGTGTGATGAAAGTTAATATTTTAAATGTTTAATGATGTAAAATGCTGTAGAGAATATTAATGGAGTTATTCAACTTTTTGCTACAGAAAAATTCCTAAAACAAACTAAAAGATTGTTTGAGGTTTGTGCTTTAGTTAGCTCACCTGAAAAAAAAAAAAGCCATTTTCTTTTTTTTATTATACAATCACTTGCAGTTGGCGTTTTCACGCACAGAAAAATGGATCAGTTCATCAACCAACATGTTAAGTGTTTATTGTAAACTTGTTTGTCTATTTTGTATTTCTAAAGAGAATGAAAATGATGACTAGTGGTGTATCAGTCGATTCCCAACTTTTTTTGATAAATAAGATTTGTTTTAAAGAGAATGAAAATGATGACTAGTGGTGTATCAGTAGATTCCCAACTTTTTTTGATAAATAAGATCTGTTCTACCAAAATGCAGCACAATAGCACGTGCTTACCATTTGAAAATCTCCAAATGAAGAATGCACATTAAGAACAAGAGAGTCTTGGTACAGTTCTTCATTGCTCTTTACTCGATGTACAACTCAAACCCCAAATTATTTATTTTTTAGATAGATACGTATATGCATGGACTATTATATGATGTTTAAATATAATTATTTTATATCATTTAGTATTGTTCTTTCAATATAACCCATTTTCCTTTTAGCCATTGGAGGGATTATAATATTTTCATCAATCCCACTATTTTGTTGGTAAAGAGTAGCCCAAGAGTTGTCAGTGGGTGATGTTGACTGGCTACCTTTCCACTAGTCCATCACTTCAAAATTAGGGATGGCTAGCACAGGTAGTGCTTGTGTTATTTTGCATGAAACTTAATAAACATGCCTTCAAAACATTAGAAACTAATCAGACTTATTGAACTACAGAAATTGCTTTGGATAATTCAGCTGTAATTAAAACTAATTAGTGATCTTTTTCAAATTAATGAATTTCAGGAATTTATAATATCCAATAAAGTTGCTATTATTAGATATTGCAGTTGAAAAGTATAGATTTTTTCTTCTTTAAAGTTTGAGAAAGAGAGAAGGTAGCCATTTGACGTTTGAGGAAATTGAAGAACAGTATCAGCTACAAAAGAAGTGGGCTCATTACAGATACCATCAGCATCTGGCAGAAATGAGCATGATAGAAAGAATTATATCTGCACAAAATCGAGCTCTTGTGGCTTTGCGTGAAGAGTCTGAGGAATTATACCAGGAAGCTATTCAGGTAAGTTTACAGTTTTTAGAAAGAACTATACACTGTACAAAAAGGTACAAATTGTTAACTTCTTCTGAGCAGTTGATGTCTGTTTATTTTTAAATTCTGAAATTAAAACTTTATTTTTATTTGTGAAAGTTAACTGCACATTTTCTATGAATTATTTAAATCTGACGATGGTGATGTTACCTTATTATTATAAAACTTTGTTTGGCAAATAGTAATCCCATAATAAATTGTTTAGTGTTCATACAAAACGTGTTTTTCTCGTACTTTATTTACGATAAATTACATAAATAGGATTTCAGTTGTAAGATACTAGTAGGTGTCTGTAACAGGATCATTTTAGTGACATTACTTAAATTTATGACTGTGAATTGAAAACATTTGGTTTTGAAAGTTGGATTTTTGTACTGTGATAAATGTGACGCTGAAATTAACATAAAGGCCCATTTAGACTATATTTTTACAGGTTAAACACACCCAATTAAATTAAAACTCAATTTTCCTGTTGGCTAAAACATTTACTAAACTTGTTATTCTATTTGTGTGATAAACACAAGTTATGTGAGATATTACAGACCAGTGTTTTTTGTAATTTTATTATGTATTATTCATGTCTTTTAGATTGATTCAGCACTTATACCATTCAAAGTGTCAGGACCAGTGCAAACACCACCAATCAAAAACTATGATCCTCCTGACGGCGAATATACGGATATGACCAAGAAATGGGATATTCTAAGTTAAAGTTACAAAAAAAAGAGAGAGATTGTAGATTATGCATAGATAATGTTTAAAAAACTGGTTCTTAACCAGAAGATGAGTAGGCTGCTACTAAATATGAAGGACGGTCGTAGCTTAAATTTTTGTACAATTCTTTATGTATTGACAAAATAAAACAAGGTACTTGTCAGATTTGTATTCTCTTCTATATATGTTAATCTTCTGTTCATAACAACGATACATAAAAGGTATATATAAAAATTAATACATATTGCTCTAAAACTTAAAGAAACATTTAAAAATGAGGAAACATTAAACTATTTACATAAGGAAATGAGAAAAAACATCAGTAAATTGAGTAACATTTTCAATGTGTAGTTTGTAGAACAGCTTCGATGTGTTACTAACCACCACTATTTTAGGTTTAGTATTTTAACCACCATGCTTTTTTTGTTGTTTTTTTTGCCAAATAGGAATAAACAATAATAGTGAATAAAGTTTAATTGAGTTTCTAAAGTACTTAAAAGTTTTTACTAACATCTGTTGAGTAATTCGATGACGAGGAACCCCATTTGAGACTAATAAT